TTTGACACAAATTGCTGCTAAACATGCAATAATTTGTAATATGAAATTTTAAATTATTTTATTAAAATGTAATTTTTGCGTTATTGTATTTTTATTGTATTTATTTGTTCATTTAGTTGTGTTCCAACGTACTTGTTACTTTTATCAAGAGATACAGAGAGAGAGAGAGAGAGAGAAATATTGATTGACACAATATGTATTAAATATAATAATAAAACTCTTAGATGTGATATATTGTGGACAAGAAGAAAAATAGGGGGCTATGGATATTATAGTCACACGTTATGAAAGATACGGCAATGGAGTCAAAGCACCGGAAAAGTTATCATTAAAGAGAAATAAATTGGGCAATACTAATGGCACGGGTACTGATTAGGGTGACCAGATGTCCAGAAATTAAATAGTATGTCCAGAGTATGCAAAATATTTTAAACGTTACGTCCATGAAGATGTCCAGGACAAATTACTTCAAAGTAGTAGTCCAGGAATTTGTACAAAACTAAACTAATCAAGTGTTAAATATTTGTAAGAAGGGCACAACATATATTATGTCTAGATAATTTAGTAAAATTAGATATATTAATGTACAGTACTGTTTAAAAATTGATATAATTTAAAATTAACATTATAAATATTAATTTGTGTAAAACATTACAATTTTAGTTATTAGAGAACAGCATATTTATTTAAAATTATTATTATTACAAACAGTAGTTAGTATACGACAGAAGTTAGAGAGCCGTAAGTATTAAAACACAAAACAAATAGTTTTGTTAAAGTAAACTAATTATATTAACCCAATTTATTTAAAATTATTATTATTACAAACAGTAGTTAGTATACGACAGAAGTTAGAGAGAGAGAGAGAGAGAGAGAGAGAGAGAGAGAGAGAACGATAATTTTATTAGTAAATATAATTTAGTTTTAATATTATTGCTACTAATTATTGTAGTAAAATTTATTATTTCTTAACAATATCGAAGTTGAATGCATTGGCGGCAACGGCCCCGCCATCGCAAACAAGGTTGGTGCCGGTGACAAAAGCAGCATGGTCACTGGCCAAGTATAGTATACTATAAGCAATATCGTTAGGCAATCCGTAGCGGCCAACCGGTATTACTTTAGCGTAGGTTTCAAAGAATTTATCGGACTCGGCCTGTGTTGCGCCCATTGCTGTAACAAAACCGGTTCGTGTCGGTCCCGGGCTAGAAATGTGCATGATTATTCATTTATTGTGTATAATCTTGTATAATTATTATGTTTATGGCTAACGTACTTAATTACGTTAACCCTGATGCGCTTAGGGCCCAACTCGGCTGCCATGCATTTAGTAAACATGTTAATTGCACACTTTGCCATACAATACGGGGCAACATCTAAACACTGTGGTAAAAAAATTAATGTTTATAAAGGGTTAATATAATTAGTTTACTTTAACAAAACTATTTGTTTTGTGTTTTAATACTTACGGCTCTCTTTCCGGCAACACTTGAAATATTAACGATATTTCCTATAGTTTTCTCCAAATACTCGACACAAATATGCGTTAAATAGACCACAGAATTGAGATTAATTGCCATCACTTTCTCGTATTTCTCGTAAAAGTCCTCATCAGTTGGTTTGGCATTAAGTCCTGCGCCGGCGTTATTGACCAGAATATCAAGTTTACCGAAATGTTTGATAGTCTGGTCGACGAGTCGTCGCATGTCTTCCCGTTTGGTCACATCTGCCGTCACTTCCAGTGCTTTCAACCCTTTCGGCGATACTTTCAGACACTCTTTGGCCGTATCTATGGGTAGACGATCAG